AGAGAGAGAGAGAGAGAGAGAGAGAGAGAGAAGTGATGATAGATGTGTACAAACCGAAGAGGAATGCGAAGAATGTGGCGAAGGAAGTCATGCAGAGAGCAATTTTGATAAGAGTTGCGAAGCCGTCTTTGGGATCAGTCATATTGAAACACTTGCAACGAACCAATTGTAAAGTAATCCCGTGGAGGAAACTAAACGCACCGAACAATAGTAGACTGATTGGTATCGCATGAGAGACCGGACAGTCGTCCATATAAATGATGCCTTAAGTGCGAGAGATTGATATCAATTGAGAGTTAGATATTTCTCGTAAGAAATGTTAGACTATAATGAAAATGCTATTCAAACCCATAATAATAAACAGAATTCCGATTAAGTTCTCAATAATAAAGATAACGAGAAGACAGCCTATAATCGGGAGTGAAATGCACTGTTAATTGTGATCAATTGGTTGACTCAAAAGTCATTGGTATAGACATAACATACAGGACTCGGCCAACACCTGAATGCTTTCACTCCAACACTTGTACGAGTCTTTTGGGTTGCGATCTCTGGCCTCTTTGAGTCGAGTCCAACACCACTTGTTTTCGTCGCCGATTTTGCTCATTGTCTCAGTTTCTTGGGAATCAATTTTGTGATCAATCGGTCTGTTTGTTGCTAACGATTGAGAGTTTGTGTTGTGTTTGTGTGAAAGTTATGTTTGAATTGAACGCGCGTTTAAACAATTGATTGCAAATTCATATATAATAGCCTTAATTAGGCCACGAAAGGGGAGAGAGAAAGGGAGCTAAATATACATTAGTTTTGTTTTATAATAAAATCAATTATCATAACATAGGAAGTCGTTATGCAATTTAATGTATGGTTTATTCAAATAGAGAGTGATATCAATACTTAATTTTTGTTTTATTACTTATAAAGACTATTAAATTTACTTTAATATTATTAGTCTAGCATTTAATTAACATTACAGACAAGTATTGATCGAATAGGAAATAAGATATAAAAGTGTAAGTTATAAAAACTAAACATAATATTAAATCAATATAAAGAATATGTTAGTATAATTATTTAATCTATATTTATAATCAACCTTATACAGTACAATATATTTTTATAGAAATTGTAGCAATAAGTTATTTATAATTATCATTTAATTAATTTTATGTTTTAATGTCTCAATGTTATAAAAATGACATAGAGTTTCATATAATATAGTATAGAGTTTCATATTATGTCCATCAATTTAACAAAAATAATAATTTAATATTTATAAAACTTGTATAAGACATGGAAATGACTTTTTAATAGTCTTAATGGCATTGAATTATTAGAGAATCTGCAGGTGTTGTGTAAATGTATAGCCCTTAAGTGCATAGAGGAAATTATGAGGCGGGTTTAATAAATGTATCAAAACAGCCTAACTCGAATATAACATACACCAAAATGTTGAGTTTATATTCAATGTAAAGATAAAAAATTATATTAGGAACAAACAAGGATTGTAAAGGGATTCTACGATTCTATATTTTCCCCAATTTTGGCTTATTTTTAGTAAA